TATATAGAAATGAAAAAGATTCTGGTTCTTCCCCTCAACATGTTTAAAATCTGATGGAGGAGATTTAAATTACAGTAGGAGAGAGAGTAGGAGGAACAAATAAGAGAACAAAGGAGAGCACAATTAATTAATAATGGGAAATATGGGGAAGGACTTCACAGAGTGGATAATACTTCAGCTGGGCCTTGAAGAGCAGTACTTGAGTAGGCAAAAGAGGCGGGGGAGGGAATGCTAGTGAAAAGACAGCATAGGTCAAAGACACAAAGATATAAAAAGACATGTATTTATTTCACAAGCACTAAGTTCTTGCTGTATGCTGGGTACTGAGTGCGTGTTGGGGCAGCAGATGGGAGTACTGCTAGGGGTGGGCGTTGGAATGGTTACAAAGATAAACAAGAAGTGAACCTCTCCTTTAATGGGTTAGTGATTCCATAGGATATGGATGGATGAAGATATACTATATTATGATAAGTGCTGATATTTATATATTGGCAAATGTCAGGGTAATCAAGACAGTATGGTACTGGTTCAAGGACAGACCTATAGATCAATGGAATAGAATTCAGATTCTGGAAATTAACCCATACTTCTGTGGTGAACTGATTTTCAACAAAGGTGCCAAGACAATTCAATGGAGAAAAAATAGTCTTGAACAAATACTGCAGAGACAACTGGATATCCACATACAGTTAATGAATTTGGACCTTTACCTCACACAGTAAACAAAATTTAACTCAAAATGGATAAAGACTTAAATGTAAAATCCAAAAGTATTTTTAAAAACTATAAAACTCTTAGAAAAAATTTTCAATAGCAGTAAATCTTCATGACTTTGGATTGGGCAGTGGTTTCTTAGATAGGACACCAAAAGCATAACCAAAAAAAAAAAAAGATTAGTTGGATTTCAGCAAAATTTAAAACTTTTGGGTGTCAAAGGATACTATTAAGAAAGTAAAGGCAACCCGTAGAAGAAATGGGAAAAAAAATATTTGCAATTCATGTATCCAATAAAGGTCTAATACCAGAATATATAGAAGACTTAGCTCAATAATAAAAAGACAACCCAATTTAAAAACTTGCAAAGGATTTGAATAGAGAGTTTCTAAACACCCAAATGGCCAATAAGCATGTGAAGATGTCCAACATTGTTATTCACAGGGAGATGCTAATCAAAACGACAGTGACCTACCACTTCTCACCTATTAGGACGGCTGTCACCAAAATAATGAAAAATAACCAGCATTGTGAGATGGAGAGAAATCTGAGCAATACTTATTTATGTTTTGTCTGCATATTCACTATCCTAATCTATTCCACCATTGATGGTGGGAATGTAAAATAGTGCAAGCACTCCAGAAAACAGTTTGACAGTTCTTCAAAACATTAAACACAGCGATACTATATGACCCAGCAATTCCACTCCCCGGTAATTCTCCCAGAGAATTGAGAACATAGGTTCACACAAAAACTTGTACATGAGCATTCATACCAGCATTATTAATAATAGCCAGAAAGCAGAAACAATCCAAATGTTTATCCGCTGATGAACAGATAAGCAAAATATAGTCCGTTCATACAATGTGATTTTATTCAGCCATAAAAAAGAACAAAGTACTGATAAATGTTACAACATGGACGAACCCTGAAAACAGTATGCCAAGTGAAAGAACCAGACACAAAAGTCTACAGTTATATTGTTCCACTTACACGAAGTGTCTGGAATATGCAGATTTATAGACAGAAAGTAGATCAGGGGTTGCCAGAAGGTGGAGAAAGGGGAAATTGGGAGTGACTGCTTACAGGTACCAGCTTGCTTTTGGAGTTATGGAAATGTTCTGGAATTAGATAGTAGGGGTGGCTGTACAACTCCATGAATATACTGGAAGCCACTGAGTTGTACACTTTAAAATGGTCATGTTTATGTCATATGAATTATAGCTCAGTAACAGTTTAAAAAATTAATGTTCTTGAAGCCCCAAACAAGGCATAATGATTTATTCAATAATCAGAAGGCTTTATGAGGGATGTTTGAGTCGGGCTCAGTTTGCTGTTACTAGAACGTTAAAAATGGCAGTGGGACCATCAGTGGTGGCTTATGCCCGTATTCCCAGCACTTTGGGAAGCCAGAGTAAGATTCCTTGGGCCTAGGAGTTCAACACCAGCCTGGGCGGCATAATGAGACCACATCTCTAAAAAAGTTAAAAAATTGGCCAGGCACAGTGGTGCATTCCTGCAGTCTTCTTAGCTGCTTAGGAGGCTGAGGTGGGAGGACTGCATAAGCCCAGGAGTTAGAGGCTGCAAAGCTATAATCGCACCACTGCACTCCAGCCCGAGTGACAGAGAAAGACCCTGTCTCAAAACAAAAAAAGAAAAAGAAAAAGTGAGTCTTGTGAGTGCAGGTGTTACTGGCCTTGAATACCATGAGGGGCATGGAATTTGTTTTGGAGTCTGTTGGAATTAATAAAAGAATTTTGAGCGGGGGACTGATTACATTTTCAAACCAGTGTTCTTTGGAGAAGTCTGTTAAATGTAAGGAAAGCATCTAGGAGGCTTTGCAGTAGATCAGCAATAATGACAGTTTTAAAAAGAGCAGGAGGAGTAAGAACAAAAAGGAGGGGATAGCCATGGGAGACATGAGAGAGGGCCAATCAGTAGAACTTAGCACTTGGTGAAGGGGAAGAAAGAATAAAAGATGACCCCAAGTTTGTGTGTCTGGGTAGATCAAGTGATACCAGTGACAGAGTGAGATAGAGGAGAGGAGCAGAGCTTAGAGGAAGGAAATAAAGATCAGCTTTGGGTATACTGAGTGTAAGGTGCCCGTGAGACATTCAGATAATGTTATCTCCATTCAGGCAGCAGGCATATGGAGATAACAGGGCTGAACTTAGGAGAAAAGCCTGGGTTGAAATAGAGATTTGGATATCCTCAGTATGAAGGTGATAGTTGAAACTTGGGACTGGATGACTGAAAGAGCTCACCCAGAGCACCAGTGCAGAGAGGAGAGAGCTGAGGATGGAATTTGGGGACATATGTGCTTCTACAGCACATGGCACCAACCTCTAATATCATACCACTTGTTATTTGATTTTTGAAAGAGTAGCCTGTGCAGTAATGGGAGGAAACTAGATTGTATATGTGAAGCAAAGAAGTGCAGGGCCCTAGTTGTAGACTAATGTTTTTAAACATTTGGCTGTGAGCTGGGCATGGTGGCTCACACCTGTAATCTCAGCACTTTGGGAGACCAAAGCAGAGGATCATTTGAGGCCAGGAGTTCAAGAGCAGCCTAGGCAACATAGCAAGCCCCTGTGTCTATGTAAATAAATAAATACAGTAAAATAAAATCAGAAAACCACAAAACCACAGGCTCATATCCCTTTAAAAAAAGAAAGAAAGAAAACATTTGGCTGTGAAAAGAAGAAACAAATGGGGCAGTGGCTTGAAGAATCAACAGAATTGATTAAAAGAGTTTTGTTGTGGTGATTTATTTTTGTTTCAAATCGGGAAACTTGAACATTTTGTGGAATGGAGGGAAGGAGTCATTGGAAAAAGGAGACTTTAAAGCTATGTGAACGGTGTCCAAGAAGAGCCCAAGGCAGTCAGAGAGATTAACTTTGTAAAAGATTCAGACATCGCGTCTCTTCTGAGCCAGGAAAAAAGATGGCTAAAGATGTTTTGAAGTGGAGTACAGTTGGGAAGGTTTTTACCAGATTATCTGCCAAGGCTAGGGAAGGGTTGGGCCTTGATGGGCATGGAGAAGATGAAATATTAGACACTGGGAATTTGTAAAATGGTTGTCAGGTAGCAGTGAATTCCTAGATGAGCCTAGATAATATGTGAACCCATTGTCTTTATTTCACCATCAAGGTATGGAGCACCTCCTGTTAATAGCTGCCATGTGTTCAGGTGTGTGACTTTGCGCTGGACATTCTGCTAACCACTTCACATACATAGTCTCACTCCACTGTTACACCCATCCCATGAGGCAGGTATTGTCATCTCCATTTTATCGATGAGGATGTATTCAAGCTTGCCCAAGTCTATACAGCTAGTCAGTGGAGGTGCCAGAATCCAAAGCCAGGTGTTCCTGACTGTGAAGCCCTCCACCCCTGTGCTGTCCCCTGCTGCGTGCCCTGAGCAGTGCTAGATAAGTGCTGAGATGGTACCTGCTCTCCAGGAGCTTCCTGAGGACGGGACTGGCAGAGGTGTTGGCTGCTCTAGTTGATGCTGCTTCCTCTCATTTCTTGTGGTTCTCATTGTGTGTCAGTTCCCTCTTTAGTACTTCTTTATGTTCGGGACTGGACGGTCACTTAAATATTTCACACTTGAGTGGCAGCTGAAGAAGACCTCCTTTGGGTTGTGGGACTTAAGGCTTACCTTGAAGGATGGATCAGATTAGGACAGGCCTTTGTGTTTGTCTTTTACTGGTTGCCTCGTGTGTTCTTTTTCTCATCACTTACATCTTTTTCTGATCCTAAATGATGTTGAAATAGCGTGCATCTACTTGGAGGCAGAGACCTCTTCTCTCTCCTCTTTGTTTTGGGATAACTACCTGTCCTCCCCACTGGTGGGTCATCCATTCTCTGCTAACCACCCCTCTCCTCTGCCTTTTCCCCTCCCTGCTCTCCTCCTCACCCATCCCCAGCGTATCTGTGAGGACTATAGCCGGAACCCTGACAGCCTACTGGAAGAGCAGATGGAAGGTGCCCGGCGGCGAGTCACTCAGTTACAGCTGAAGATCCAGCAGGAGACTGGTGGCTCAGTGGTGAGTGACGCAGGCACAGCTCTAGGAGGGCCACATGCAGTGCAACTGGGGCTAGAGCGAGGGGAAAAGCAAGGACAGAAAGCTTCTTGGATTATGCCAGAATCTCAAGGCTGAACTAATAAGTGTTTAGTATCTAGCAAAGAAACCAAGGTCAGCACCAGAGAGGCTGAGCACTGTAGTGACGCTTGGGATACCATAAAAAGAAAAAGCCTATTTTTTGCCCTCCAGCAGCATAGGCGATGGAAAGAAAGAAATATGAAGTAAGCACACTGTCAGTGTTAGTCTCCGAATTATCCTTCTCTTCCGGGTAATTCCTCATAGCGGGTGTATGTATATTTCTATACTGGTTTTACCCAGTGTTTCATGTGGTACCCTTTCCCACCACCTACCCTCAAGTAATGAGTCTTCTCAAAGAAATACAAGCACTTTTTAAAGTCAGACTACATAAAAGACCCCCAGTCAGTTGAGATGGATCTATATCAGCAGATAACCATGCTTGATGAGAAACTCCAGAGAGTAGATGTTTCTTTATCTATTTTCTTCAGGGACTTTGCTATGAGTGTCTTTCTGCTTTCCATCAGGCCTTAATTTTTTGGGTAAATAAGAAGTAACTCTCCCGAAACTTTAAGGTCTCCAAGAAAAACATTTGCCAAAGCCAATAGAAATTATTTAAAGATGACCTACAGCCGGGCACGGTGGCTCACACTTGTAATCCAAGCACTTTGGAGGCCAAGGCAGGCGGATCACCTGAGGTCGGGAGTTCAAGACCAGCCTGACCAACATGGTGAAACCCCGTCCTTTAAAAAAAATAAAATAAATATATGTGTGTGTGTGTGTGTGTGTGTGTGTGTGTGTGTGTGTGTGTGTGTGTGTGTGTGTATATATATATATATATTTAATAATAAAGATGATCTACTTTTGCTTTGAGAATATCCAGATTTTAAAAGTTTAGGAAACACAAATTTAAACTGCTTCATTTTCTGAAGGACTTCTCATATTACATGGTTGACAGGTAGGAGCTCAGGTTGTGGACTTACACCGTCTGAATTCAAATCTAGCATCACTTCTCACCAGCTTAAAGACTCCTGGGCAAGTTAATTCATCCATAGGAGCCTTAGTTTCCTCATTTATAAAATGGAGATCACAGTTGTCAGAGTTAAAATGTGCCTTTGACATGGGGGCTGGACATGTTTGCTGCTGCCACTGCCGCTGTCAGTTGTGCTATCAGGTGATGAGTCTGAGAAACTAAGCTTGGAATCTGAAGGTCTGAGCTCCAACCCCAGCTTTAGGGTTGACCTGCTACGTACCTTGGGCAAGTTACTTAAGATCTCTGAGCTTCTGTTTCCTCATTTGTAACATGAGAGTAACATGCCTAAGCCAGGGCCATTGAAAGATTAAATGTGATGTAGAAAAGTGCTTTGTAAACAGCAAAGCACTATCAGCATCACTTCCTGCACATCCTGTAGCTCAGTCAGTCTCAGGCCAGTCTTATCTCCTCCTCAGAGATCTCCAAAGGTAAACCTTCCCTTGGTCACCTGCTTGAATTTTTTTTATACTTCTTGATGGTGAAGAAGTTCTTTCTTGTATCCAACCCAAAGTAAGGCACTCCAGGGTGGTTAGATAAAGCCAGCTTTTAGAATGTCACTAATGGTAAAGCTCCCTTTCCACCATTAGGGGTCATTGTCATCCTCAAACTGTGCAAATGAAGCAATATCTCTTCTAGCTGGGCATTTTTGAGGCAATGAAGCGGAAGAGGCCACTAATTGTAAGCAAATCAGGCACTGATTGGCGGAAGGAAACCATAGGGGGAGAGGTTCACAGAATTTGCCCACCCTGTGGGCCTTTCTGTTTCAGGACATACTTTCACTGTATGGTGACACCAGCCAGAGACCATCAGAAGGTAAGTCCCCCCATCACCTCTTTTTCCTCTGGCATATCTCTAATCCAGTTTTCTTACCTATTTCTCCTCCCCATGGAGCAGATTCCAGGACAGAAAATATATTATGTCCACCCTCTGAGAAATGGAATAATGGAAGAAAGCAGCACAAATACACAGGGAAGCTGGATACAACTTAGGCAGTAGAAATGAGTGTATAGCCAGTAGCTGGGACAGATAGGGGCCTGGAACATACCAGAATGAGTATGGTCCAGGCAGCAGCTTGACTGACAGCTCCTGGCACTAAGGAATTCCGCCAATACTTGTAAGAAGACATGGGTGGTGACCAGAAGAGGGTTGGGAAGGAGTGGAGGGGCAAAACTAGCTGTGAGAGAGAGCTATGGAGTCTTATTTCAGTGCCCAAGTGCAAAGACAGGTGAAAGCTAGATGTGAGGAGAGCAGAGGGGAGGTATGCCAGGAAAGTGTTTGAGTCTGGGGGTCATGGGGTGAGAGAGCTGAAAGGAAACTGGTGAAAGAAAAGGTGGCAGCTTCCCTTCCTGCCCTGGGCATAGGTGCCCAGAATAGAGGCTCTCTTTCCCCCAGTCTACAGCTCCTTCCATATTATATAAGCTATTTTCTTCTCAGGCCGGCTTTCTCTGGATTCCCAAGAGGGGGACAGTGGCTTGGACTCTGGGACAGAACGCTTTCCTTCGCTCAGTGAGGTGAGTCCCAGCAGGGCAAGGCTTGTTCAAAACATGCATTTGGTATCCCTTCCCTTGCCCCAAGGCTCTACTGCCTACCGGCTGCACTGAGGCCTCTGTGTGCCTCTTCCATCATTCCATTTCCAACGATGTAATCACTGTGCTCTCAATTCCAAAGCAGAAATTTCAAATGCACTCAACATGCAAGATTATCAAATCTGACTTCCATTTTATCATGGTCAACTCTATTATATAAAGAGTAGGGTGGAGAGGGAGGCCACGGCATTAACTGTGGCAAGCCTTTGAGAGGGAGGGAGCAAAGACGAAATAACCTAAAACAGTGACTTGACCAAAAACACATTTCCACCTGTCCAGGAATAACATCATCTTAGATCAATGCAGTGAACCCAGCCTATTCAAAAGTGGGAGTCTTTTTTTTTCTGCTGTGGATCTTTTTCTTCTAGAACGGCTTGTCTTTTCTGGAATCACTACAAGAATTTCAGGTTTTGACTCAAAGGTTATCTCTTCCAAGCGTTCGGTTTGCTTATGCAAACCGTAAACTGCAGTATAGAAGTAGGAATGAGTGGGAGAAGTAGTAATGAAGTTAGCAAAATATTTGCTTAGCCAGAATAATTAAATATGTGAAGATGTGGTTGAAAATGTGTTAAAAACCTAATTTTAGATAACAATTGGAATTTTATTTTCTTACTGCCCTGACCATGGGAAAATGATGAAATATATGTAAAAGGACCCGTATGTGGGAAAGTCATTGAGAAAGTGGAGTGGGATGGGGATCCTAAAGAATCTACATTTGACATTATCTGGAAGGCCACAGAGTTGGTGATGAAGAGCGTGTGCTGTGGGCTGAGGCTGCCTCAGTTAAGTCCAGGATATACCTCATGACTAGTTCTCTGACTTAGCAAGTCTCGTAACTTCTTGGAGTCTTAGTTTCTTTGTGTGAAAGTGGGACACATAATAGTAACTACCTAAAAGGGCTACTGTGAGAATGGAATGAGATAATATGTGATGAAGGGCTTAGTCTAATGCCAGGCACAGAGCAAGTACTGCACTTCCCTGAGCTGATGTTATAAGTATGGTTATCACCACCAACACCAAATGAGCTGAGCCTGAGGGTGTTCTGGACAAGGTTCCTTTTCACAGAATTCTCCGTTTCTCTAGTCATTGATGAATCGGAACTCGGTACTGTCAGACCCTGGGCTAGACAGTCCTCGAACCTCCCCTGTGATCGTGGCCAGGGTAACCCAGCACCACAGGCGGCAGGGCTCGGATGCAGCAGTCCCCTCAACTGGTGACCAGGTGAGTGATCCCAAGCCTCCCTGCAGTTTTCCATTCTTCTTTTCTCAGAAGCAAGATTTGGAGGTGTGCGTGTTACCGGTACATGGTCTTAGATCATCAGACTGACCCCCTGCTTCAGCGACCCAAACTTTGAGACAGCCACTTACATAGAGAGCAAACAGGAAAGAAAGAGAACATGGCATAAATAGAAATACGAAAGTGAGGCTCAGTTTCTGTGTGAAGAGTGGGTGAATGTATCTGTAGGAAGTAACAGCTAAGGAGCGGATAGCTGGTCTTTCTGTCTGTATAGAATAGGAAATAGGTTTAGGCAGTGTTTCTCCAGGATACTAATTTTCATTTTCCCTGTTCCTTAGCAAAATCCTTTCTTAAACAAAATCTTATTATTTGGAACCCTAACATAGAAAAGAAAAAAAAAAACCTCAGCTTTCCTAGGACCTTTACTGATCAGCAACCCCCTGCCCTCAAGGGCACTTCCACGGAGCCCTAAGGTTCTGCAAAACTTGATTTGAAAGGCCCTGCTCTCAGGGGCAGAGCTAGATAGATCCAGGAGAGACTTCAGGAAGACGGGTTTTGACTCAATGCACACAGCTTGCAAAGAAGCTGGGCTGCCTGGCAATGGAGTGGACTGACTTGAGAGCCAGAGAATTGTCCTGTTGTTTTTCAGACACTGTCAACGGTGTCTAACAACGTTAGCATCTAACAATGTTCAGATGTCGTTAGACATCTAAATATTCAACATTCTACCTGTGTAAGGTTACTTAATATTTTTCTTTAAGCCAACTCAGTTCTTTAAACTTAAATTCATCTTAAGGAAATCTGTCATTACCTTAAATTAAAACCAACATCACACACTATAAATGCAGAGTAAATGTAACACTAAATATAAGTTTAGAACCAAGTTTGTTAAATTCTATCTAGAAATATATAGAACAGTGTAGAAGAAAGCTACCATTTATATTAAAAAGAGGAAAAGGAGCCTCTTAAGACCTTTCTGAATGAATATTTAAGAAACTGATGGTTATTGCCGCTGAGGAGGGGAATTACGTGGCTTGAGGGTGAAGTGGATGGAAGACTTTTTTTAATATTTACTCTTTGTGTCCTTTCAATTTAAAACTACATGATGTAAAAAATTACTTAAAAAAAAAAAAAAACGAAATTTAAAACAAGCTGAAAAATAAATTCTGGCTCAATTCTATTGCTTGTCAAAGGCTATAATTAAGCTTGAGGCCTATTCTGCCTTGGTTAAAGGTATTAAAGCTATGCAGGCACCAGGCTGAAATTTTTTCTGGGTTAATCAAAAGGCTGGAATGAGAACTGAAAAGAAACTAACTTTCTTACAATATGAGCCAATGTTATTTAATGCCATGTCCATATCACCTAAGATCATTTTGACCCTCAACAAAAATCATCTCACTTAAAATCATCTTGAGTTCCACTTCCCACACTGGAAAACATTGGTGTCAGGAGTTACACAGGTGGTATTTTCAAACTGTGGGTTGTCACCTTTTGGTGAGTCATGATAACAATATTGAAGGTCATGAGTAGCATCTATTTCAATGAAGTAGAATCTAATAGCCTGGAAAAGAAAGTATCAGAATTCATCACGTGGTTAGAGTATAATTTTTGCGAAACTTCTGTTTTAATTACATATGTATATACTAAGTTGCAGTGAAAACATATTTATTAGAAGTTGTGGTCAAAAGAAAGTTTGAAAGCTACTTTCTGGAGTTCTTTTGACTCTGGGATCCTATTAATCACTGAGTCCAGGAGGTCTTCAGAAGATGGGGTCTCTAAAGTAATTTGGATAAAGGGAGAGATGGCACAAGGAAGAAAACAGAGCAAACGATGATCCTACTCACTGAGCTGTCTTTGGTGGCATTGTGATTTTAGAAAACTTGTCCTCTCACCTTGGAGTTCAGGGTTCTAAGCAGCATCTTTTTTCTCTTAGAGCATTTATCCCTCTGCTGTTATTTCCCTACGCAGCTTACCTCAGCTGTATATGATTTATCCCTGCAGGCACCTGGCACACAGTAGCCACCTCATAATGTGTAGTGAATGAATGAGTGAATACTTTGGAATGGGAGTAATCAATATTGTCTTCTGAGTGGCATCTTAGGGGAGAACTTATCCAGGACACAGAGCTCCTAAATTTCTTGAAGCCGAAGTTTCACAGTGTGATCTGTAGAAAAGAGGACTGTGGCCTAGGTGAACCTATTTTTTTATAAAGCTAGAGTTATGCGACATCAAAAGAAAATTCTAATCAAGAGCTACTGTGCAAAAGAATACGTGTGAGCAAGTTTCTCTGAACCTATTCTGGTTGGGCTGCCGAATTCTCAAAAAATAGAATTAAAAGACAACAACATATGATACTCTAGCTTTACTCATTGTATAAAGTTTGGTTATTCTTAGAATGTGGAGGGGAAAGGTGGGGAAAGGGATTTGATGGATATTAAAATGCCTAGTGTGCCAGCTGCTGTACCAGATCTTTACAAAAAATCTCATGTAATCTCACAATCGGGAAAAAAGGTGGCCATTAGAATCTTCATGAGGTAAATAGGAAAACCGGAACAAAGAAATCTAAAGGAATGTTCAAGGACTAACCATGTTACTGTCAGAACTAGAATTCAGTTCTCCTGGGCCCCAACACAGGGCTCTTTCCTATCCTAGCCACTGATTCATTGCTCTCTCTACAACCCTGTCTTTGTAGAACTAAAGGACCAAGTTCAGGTTGCTAAGGGGTCAGGCATCTATCCTGTTCTAGGAGACGGTTTCCTTCAAGTGGCTCATAGAAGCAGGTGTGGAGTAAATGGTCTTGGAGCCCTTGTTTTCCTCTTCAAAATTTTTTCATCTTCTGAAAACTATTTAAATTGCTATTTTCAAGTGTTAAGAGTAAATAGAGTATAATTCCAGTTTCTTAATAGTAGTAAATATTAATAAACAGCAGAGGAAGAAAACCTAGACTTTCCATAAAACTGTCAGCAGCAGGGAAATGGATGCATAAGGACCTCTCACTTTCCGTTGTATCATTGTATCATTCTATAATGTTTGACCTTTTTAATAATAAGCTTATTCTGCTTTTGTAATCAGAAAGAATAAGTATTTGTAAAGACCTTTTTTAACAAAATCCTCCTCCTAAACAAGCAAAAACCTAGTGCTTTTCAGATTTCACCAGAGAGCTCAGGAGAGCCGGAAGTGCTCACCCACCACCTCCTGGGGCTCTCGGACCCCCAGAGGTTCAGAGACTAAAGTGTTAGGAAAGGAGGATACTCGAGATGTTTCTGGGAAATACAAATACAGCACATCAGGTCTGATTCTGCAGCTTTGGGCACACCATTCAGTCTCTCTGGACCTCACTTTTTTCAATAATTAGTGCGTATTAGACTCTAGTCTCTAAGAAACCCTCTAGGCCACTCATGTGATTCACTCATTCTGTGATTCACTCATTCTGGGCATGGAGGCCGTAAATACCCAGGAAAACAAAAAAGGGGTGAGGAGCATCAGAGGAACTGTCAGGAAAAGCCCCTTAAGAGTGGGTTAGAAGGGTATCATGGGCCTGGGTTAAAGGCACAAGCAAGCTGGGTGGGTTCCAGAAGCAGAGCCGTTGTTAGGGAATCACTGGAAATGAGGGAGATTAAATTGAGTGAGAAACAGAGTTGGTAGAAAAGCCTTGAAAGCTCAAAGAACCTTTAGGAGAAAAATGTGTACAGTGAAGCATCTGAGAAGTTTATGCAATACGAAGTCTCTCTCGTCGTTCCTAATCTCTGGCATATCCATCAGGATTAGGTTTTTATTTAAATTAGCATACGGAGGAAAGAAAGAAAAAGCCAGACTAAGAAATTTGGGTTTTAGACAGATAATGGGGATCTACCACAGATTCTTGAGCAGGCAAGGGAAATCATGCAAATGGTGTTAGAGAAAGATCAGCTACATCTCCATTTATTCAGAGAGGCAGAGATCTACTAGTAGAGTCTCTGACAGTTATTTAGCCAGCCGTACTTACTAGGCATAGAGTAACTGTTCAGTAGCGCTGTGGTAGACACTTCATTTGGAGGGTGTAAGTGTTTGGGGTGGTGGCGGCTGTTAAGTCTGTTAAGGAAAACAGAACCCCCATCCCAGCAGTTCAGCAGGAGCATAGGCTCTTGTTTTGTTGACTGACAGTCCCTCCCCAGATCTTTTGCAAACAGGAAGAGAACATTTTCTCCTACTTCCCATCTTCATATATCATGTGACCAGGCTGCTCTGAATCTGCCCTGCCCCACCCAGAAGCAGTTGACTTCCTGCAAATGGAAATCATTTCATCTGTGCTCTGATTTGGGGGCGGGAGTGAGATGCCAGTGCTCACCAGACCCGCATGTGCCGCAACTAAGCAAACTTCACTGAGGTGGCTGAACCCTCTGTCCTCCATAACCTCTCATCTCTACAACTTGACTCTCTCCTCCAGGGTGTAGATCAAAGCCCAAAGCCTTTAATTATTGGCCCAGAGGAAGATTATGACCCGGGTTATTTCAACAACGAGGTAACGGTTTCCTAGTTTTCTCCTTTCATCATTTTCTGTGTGTGTCATACAAGATGCTCTTGACTAGAAGCAGTTTGACTAGCACCAGCTGTGAAGGGAACTTGGGGCGGGGAGCCGTTCTCTTATGAACCCAGGAAGGGGGATCACGTGGGAGCTAAGCTAGAACCAGCTGTGCTGCTGTGCCCTGCCTCCCGTCACACTCATCCTTCTGCCTTTCAGAGCGATATCATATTCCAGGATCTGGAGAAACTGAAGTCTCGGCCAGCTCACCTGGGGGTTTTTCTACGTTACATCTTCTCTCAGGCGGACCCCAGTCCACTGGTAAGTCAGAAGCATCCGTCTTGATTGAGTGCCTGCTGTGGTGAACAGAGAGAACCTCTAGCCTCTGTTTCTGCCCCCTAGCTGTTACAAGTCAGATCCATGGGCACAGCCGGGCACTTCAAGGACAGAGACAAAATAGCCAAGAAGATGAAACCTATGCAGAAGGGACTTTTCACTGTATGACACAACTAACTCACTACATCAGTTGTCTAGGGAGGAGTAAGAGGGCAAGGCCAGGAAAACTCATTCTTGATCAGTTCAGAACATCATCTTGGAGAAGTTGTTCTTCCTAGAGTTTTTTAAATGAAGGTAGATACAGACTGACTAGGGAGTTGAGACAGTAGCCCTGCGAGAAAACTTGGAGATGGCAAGGCTGAAAGGGTCTTCTGTGCGAAGATGATGACAAGAGGGAATGTGAGGGCATGGAGACCAGAGTGCCTGGGGACAGCACTCAGAGCCAGCAGCCTTCCCAGTTTCCTCCTTCTGCTCAGCTGCTTAGAAAGGAAAGGGAGATGGAGGAGAGGGGTTGGGGTTGTAGTCTTCAGAATAAACTTCCCACCTGGGACATGGGCTGCTGTTTTGTCTTTCTGGGGATACCATCAGAAGCCAGAATGAACAGCCATCCACGGGTATTCACTGAACACCTGTGTGCAAGTCCAAGTGCTGGTGACTCAGAAGCATTCCTGAATAAGACAGGGCACACCACAGAGAGGAGTAACACATGAACCCTTAGGAAACAAGACGTAAACAAGCACGAGATGCAAGTGAAATACCACGTGTGGAGAGGATGCGGAGTTGAAGATGTGCCCATGGGAAGGGAGTGGGGATTATTTTACCACAGGTTTCTGAAATAGTGTGAGCCCAGCTTTCTCAACCTCAGCACTGTTTTGAGCTGGAGAATTCTTTGTTGTGGTAGACTGTCTTGAGGCTTTGGGGAAATAGAGCTGCGTCGCCGGGCTGTACCCACTAGATGCCAGTAGCACCATACTCGCCCAGTAGTTGTGACAACTAAAAATGTCTCCAGATACAGCCAAATGTCCCCTACAGGGCAAAATTACTGCTGGGGGAAACACTGCTCTAACCCAGTTATCTCTCCTCCTAGCTTTTTTACCTGTGTGCAGAAGTTTATCAGCAGACAAGCCCCAAGGAGTCCCGAAGCTTGGGGAAAGACATCTGGAGTATTTTCCTGGAGAAAAATGCGGTGAGGCAGTCATAGATTGGATTATAATTTTATTATATTCTTTGAACTACCCAGAGGCAGAGGAAAATTAAGCAAAACATTCAGACCAAACGGAGACATGTTCTTAAAGAGAAATCTAGGCTGAGAGATTAGTATCCTTGGATTCTGTTCCAGCGCCACTCTCAAAAAATCTCGCTGGACCTCTTTTTCCACATAGAGTACACATTGCGTCCCTCTGGAATGTTTGGAGGAGGAGATTGTACCAGATTCTCTTTACTCTCCCCTGATTCAGCACCCTGGTTCCCCCCAGCCATCCCTGCCTTGCCCTTCTTCTGGGCTGAAGAAACAGAGGTCTAGAGATATCAGATGATCTAGATCAGTGAGGCAAGAGGAGAATCCTGGCTTCTGAAGCTCAGTCGGACTTGCTATTACTACCCAAAGGCAGGAGTCAGAGGTGGGAGGCCCCTGAGTGTCTGGGATAGGCAGCACCTTGTGCATTGGCACAGAGTTCCCAGGGGTGTGTCAGGGATCCCACGGGCAAGAACACTTCTGCCTGCAGAGGGCAACTGCCATCCCAGACTTTCTAATCTGATCAACTAAACTAATTCCAAGGTGACTTTATTCTTCTGGCAGTAAGCTGGTAGGGTTAATGAGGTTGGGGGAAATTGGTTTTTCTTAAGAGTTTTGGCCGAGCGCAGTGGCTCACGCCTGTAATCCCAGCACTTTGGGAGGCCGAGGCGGGGGGTTCACAAGATCAGAAGATCAAGACCATCCTGGCTAACATGGTAAAACCCCGTCTCTGCTGAAAATACAAAAGAATTAGCTGGGCATGGTGGCACGCACCTGTAGTTCCAGCTACTCAGGAGGCTGAGGCAGGAGAATCTCTTAAACCTGGGAAGTGGAGATTGCAGTGAGCTGAGATTGCACCACTGTACTCCAGCCTGGGCAAAAGAATGAGACTCTGTCTCAAAAAAAAGAAAAAAAGAGTTTTATATTTGCCCCCTTAAATGGGTCTTGAATAGGGAGGTTAGAGCTGCCGGTTGTTCTCTCTTGGTTGTTTGGAGCCGCACCAGTACCCAGGTTTCAAGGACTTGTGTAGCAAAAGCCAGACACCATACTAACTACAAGGCTGGGTGACACAAGGCTAGCTTTCCCTTGGGAGTCGCGGGGAGGAAAAGTTCACCACATAGCCTAATGAAGGCTTTTCCCTTGCTGCTAAGTCAGCACAGGTCCACTGTTTGGACAGCATGCCATTCCATGTACCCTAACGGCCTGGAAATAAGAGTGGAAAAAACTGCATGTGCCGCTGTCAGAATATAGTCTCTGCTTGCTCTGTAGCCTCAGACTCCGTTTCCCAAAAACCCTAGCCTAGAATTCAGGTGTGCAGTTGGAGAGTAATGAGAAGGATGGTGGGTAGATGTAGGCAAAAAGGCATGTGGCCAAGCCCTCCTCACCCTGCACACTGTTCATCTCTCTGGAGTGTACAGACCTGACCACTTCTGCTCCACACTTCTGTTTTTTAGCCTCTGAGAGTGAAGATCCCTGAGATGTTACAGGCTGCAATTGGTAAGTTGGCTCATTGGTCAGTTAGTCTCTGCTTGGTACCTTTCTTCTCCTGAGCTCTCAGGAGGCTCCAGTGGACAGAAGGGACATAGTCACTGTCCTTGGGCAACCGTCCTCTAATAGGGGAAAGGACCCATAGGACAGTTGCTCCAGAACACTGCACAGTAGCTAATGAACAGGTACAAATGGGACAGACCCTGCCTAGGTGCTGACTCTGCCATGGGGAGCTTGTCATGGGAAGACAGTGGACTTGGAGTCAGGAGACCTAGGTTCATGTCTGCCACCCTTCCACATGACCTCTCTGGGCCTCCGCTGGCTTATCTGTACAAAAAGGAAATCAGACTTGATCAGGGATTCCTAAGACAGGTTGATTATCAAGAATCCCTTGGGGAACAAAAAATAAAGAAACTAGGGCCTCACTCCATCCTCCTGCAGAGTTGGAATCTCTAAGGTGGTTTTTCTTGTTGGTTTTTTTTTTGGGGGGGGGGGGGTGTGTTTTATTTTTGTTCCTTAACTTTTAAGTTAAGGAACTGACAGCAGCTAGCCCAGAGTAAGGACCCAGCAGGCTGGATGGTGCCCGGCTCCCTTCTCCTTCTAATCATGAGAAGAAGAATTAAGCAGAGGCAGTCTAAGGTGATGTCAGCCTGAGAAGCTAATCACTAGCAGCTTTTTAGAGGACAGGAATTGGAAGCTGCATTTAGAAAGAGATGATTCGTGGGCGCATGTGACAGGGAGGGGAGCTTATGGACCAGGCAGAGGGTAAGCAGAGCTTGCTCAAAAGCAGAGTGAGAGTGAAGCGCAGCTCCCAGGAACTTAGCCTAGCCTGGGTGGGGATGGATGCAGGAACTAGAGGAGAGGCATCTTTCGGTTAATACTGGGGAGCTCAGGTTTCATGGAATGTGAAGTGCTTGCCTTTTTTAGCCTTGTGAGTTGCTTCTGGGGCAGCAGAGGTGAGAGGGGCTTTCATAGTTCTGTCCTTGGATGTCAGAATGTCCAGAAAATATTTTTGTCCTTGCCCTGGACTTTGTATATCAGGATTCCAGTCCTGAATTCAAGAATGATCTGAGAGGTCCAGGCCTCCTCTTCCTTTAGGCTAACAGGGCAGAAAGCCAGCCCTTCCTCCCAGTGTCACAGGGAGCTGAAATGCCTTGAGATGCTCAGCAGAAGTGACCTTCCCCCACCCCCCGTACCCCACCCACTGTGCCTTCTCTGGTCTCCCACTGCAGACTTGCGCCTGCGGAACAATGAGGACGCCCGCAGCATTCTCTGTGAAGCTCAAGAGGCAGCCATGCCTGAGATCCAGGATCAGATACACGACTACAGGTTGGCCCAGGAGCTGCCCTCCCACCACTCACCTCGCACCTCCACCACTTAGCCCTTGCTCCTTCCCTCTGGGGCCTGCATGTGTCTCTTGTTATGTGTGTTTGCCTCACTCTTTCTGGGTGTCCATCTGTTGAGCATTTGTGTATAGTTCCTTCTTTCCGTGTTTGTCTGGCTTAGAACGAAGCGCACTCTGGGCCTGGGCAGCCTGTATGGTGAAAACGACCTGCTGGACCTGGATGGCGACCCTCTCCGAGAGCGCCAAGTGGCCGAGAAGCAGCTGGCTGCCCTTGGAGATATCTTGTGAGTCTTCAGCTTCCTCCCTCCCCACTGAACGTGCCAAGCAGGTTGACATATTTTGTGGATCTGTTCTTTCAGTCTCTTGTGTTCTTCCACTTCTTGCCTGATTCTCCTGCCCCTGGAAGATGGGGAGTCATGTCCTCCTGCTGCATTGGTCAGGCTGAGGGCCGCAGGTGTCAAGGGTGTGGCAGAGCCCAGAACTCCTGATAGTCATTTGGTGGTTATGACAGACCACGAGCCTCCCGAATGTGATGAGCTTTCTGCTTTCCCCTGCTGGTCCTCTTCCGGACCTCTCTCCCTTCCTGCCTCTAAGATCTTACCTGTCACAGTGAGTGAGGCCAGTGCTATGTGTGCCCAGCAGATAAAGTTCCTTCAGGAGGCAGCTAGAAGTGGCTTAGGAGAAATTGAACCATCTTTCATTCATCCACATCAGAAACCTGAACTAGTGCAACATATTAAGGCCCTTCTGGCACAGCTGCTTTAGTTATGCATTCCTAGCCCCATTTTCTAAAGCGTCATAGGTTCCTCACAGACTTTGTGGGGACACTTCAGGCTTAGAAGCAAGTTTTTGCCTAATACTGCTTCTCTCTAAGTAGTTATGTGACCTTGGTTAAGCCATTCCATACAAGTCAGATCCATGGGCACAGTCGGGCACTTCAAGGACAGAGTCAAAATAGCAAAGAGAATGAAATGTATGCTGTCTCTGCTAAGGCTGATATTTCAACTCGGCAAATATTTATGGAGTTCCTGCTGTGTACCAAACACTTGCACATCAAACGTACTTCTCTCCTTTTCCCCCACTAACCCTCCTTTCATCTAGGAAAAAACTTAACCCTCCTCCTAGCGTCTGACCAGGTGACCAGCCTCTGTCTTTGCAGTCTGAGTCATCTGTTCTTTCTTTCATTCCAGGTCCAAGTATGAGGAAGACAGGAGGTAAGCAAGTCTATGATATGTATCTGCAGCTTTCAAGGTGGAAGGAGTGGGGTTGAGCTACTGTGCTTTCCATTTCTGCCAGTCACAGGGGAGTCCCTAGTGTTGTACGACCACGCGGGACCATGGTTCCTGCAAGGCTGAATCTCAGGGGTCTGTGTGGCCACAATATAGAGGATCATGAGGCCCATGCCCCAATGGTCAGGGATCACTGCCTGGGCATGTGGGCCTGCTCCTCAGTGGGAAGACACCAAGCTGCCATCGCTCCTCACAGTCCCATACCTGGCTGCAGCTCCTCTACCCAGATGAGCCACTTTTTTCCCTTAAATCACCTAAAGTGGTAACGGTAATCAGGAAGTCAGCCTGTTAGCAGCATCTGCAGAGGGGAGCTGGGGTGCAGCACAGTTCCTTTCTTGGTACATATTAGAATTTTTTTTTTTGCAAGCTATATATTTATCTCATTGTTTTTCATTAGCCAAGGTTAAAGTGAGTTTGCACTCCCTGAGCAGGCAAACTAATAGGGGAGAGAAAATGGGGTTAGGAGCCTGTTGAAGAGGGAAAAACAGCCAGAGCTGAAGGCTTGCTGCATTGAATGCACAGGGTGGATCATCATCCATCCAGGAAATTGGATACAAATGCATTTTTAAACACAGAGCTCTGGACATTTTCATTTGTGGCAATTGGAAGCCACTTGACAGCTCCTTTTCTGTCTCTTTTTCTCTGTACTGGGGATGGGAGGATGGTGATGGCAGTATACCTTGGCAGAGGCTGCTCGGCATTTCTCCCTTCACCTGGCCTCCCCACCCCTGCACATATGCCTGAGAGCATCAGTGGCCAACCTCAGCCAGTCCTCCAGGTCTGCCTATGACTTGACCAGCCAGGAAATTATTTACGTACATTTTAGGGAATTGGCATGTTCTTCCACTGACCATCATCTGCTCATGGGGAACAGTTCTGCTTAGGGAAAGAATTAAGACTTCTCCTGGGAGTCTTGCCAGCCCAGACTTTTAGCCAGCTTCTGCCTGCTCTCCCATTTAATTATTCTAGACTTCTCTTTGAATACTTTGACCTATAACTACCCCTTCCCCACTCCACTGGGTGGTGGTGAAACACACAGGGAAGATAACTTGAGCTCTCTGATTTAAGACGCTGTTCCTCTTTTACAGCGCCCCCATGGACTTTGCCCTCAATACCTACATGAGTCATGTTGGCATCCGTCTTCGAGAGGCACGACCTTCTAACACAGCTGAAAAGGCCCCGTCTGCTCCTGACAAGGACAAGTGGCTACCCTTCTTCCCTAAGACCAAGAAGGTGAGGGCTGGGTGCAGTGGCTCATGCCTGTAATCCTAGCACTTTGGGAGGCCAAGGCCAGCAGATTGCCTGAGCTCAGGAGTTTGAGACCAGCCTGGGTGACATGGTGAAACCCTATCTCTACTAAAATACAAAAATTAGCCCGGCGTGGTGGTGCATGCCTGTAACCCCAGCAACTCAGGAAGCTGAGGCACGAGTATTGCTTGAACCGGGGAGATGGAGGTTGCAGTGAGCCAAGATCACACCACTGCACTCCAGCCTGGGCAGCAGAGCGAGACTCTGTCTCAAAAAAATAAATAAATAAAAATAAAATAGATGAAGGTAACAGAGCTGTCCTAGAAAATACCCCCTCTTGGTGCAGTACGCTGTGCTGAGGTAGATCAGGAAAGCCATCTTGCAGGTCTCTGGCTATATCCCTCCACCTGGATATGGAGTCAGTGAGAACCCCCAGACTAGAGCAGCTCTCAGTCCCTTCCAAACCCAGGCCAGAGGTGAATGTACTCGTAGGGTACCAGCAAGAGTCAACTCTCCAGTTATTTGCTGAGGGCCAGCCTTGGGGAACAGTGACAGAATTGATTAGCAGCCACACCTGGATATCGGGACCTCCTCCAAACCCCAATGTCTCCTGTCTCAACAGAGCAGCAATTCCAAGAAAGAAAAGGATGCCTTGGAGGACAAGAAGAGAAACCCTATCCTCAAATACATTGGGAAGCCCAAAAGCTCTTCTCAAAGCAGTGAGTATTTGGGGAGAAACAGCCTTGGGCATTCCTTGGGCAGGGACCTCAGCCCTTTTATATACCGGTATGTTGGCACAGGGCCTTCCAGTGTTTCTGGGAGCCACAGGCTCAAACTGAGACCACAGCTACTTTCTCCCCTTACCAAATCCAGTGCATCATCTCTGAGGTTCAGGCAAGTGTTTCCAAGCCAAGGAAGCCGTGCCGGTCCCTGGGTCTTAGTCTAGGAACCCAGAACAGTTGCTACCAAACAGCCATGTGAGAAACATCTCCCCCTGGCAAGGATCGCCCTGTGGACAGTAAATGCCCCCTTCACCTTCATCCAAGGGCCTATCATTTTTCCCAGCACACAGGACTGCAGGAGTACAGATGTAGGCGGGGGATGGTTGAGTCACTATTAGTAGAACTGGTCAGTTTGGGGACAAGTTTGGGACCCAGAGTTTCCCCTAATGCCGTCAATGACCTAAAACTCAAGTGATCCTATCATTGATCTCTTCCCAGCATGGAGAAATTTGTCTGGAAATTGTTGTTGGCCCCTCCCAGTCATTACCTTAAACCCCCCAGCATCAGTGGGAATCTGTGAAGGGCAGGGGGTGGGCCAGCTGCCCTTTCTGAAACTGCTGCGCTGCAGGAGAGGGAGAGGGATTCTTTGAGATCAGCCTTGATTTTTGCCACTACCTTTTCATTTTCTGGCTTGATGTAACTTTTATTTTGATTCTTAAAACATTGATTTGACTTTTCATGGTTTACTTTTGTTTTTGTTTGTTTTTCTTTTAGCATTTCATATTCCCTTGTCCCCTGTGGAAGGTAAAAGGACCATTTTCTTTGGGTTTGTCTTTGCATTAGCATTGAGTTTCCATCTCCCAAATTCTGCCTTTTCTGTTCGTCTTCCCTCCCTTTCTTTCTCCTCTCCATTTCTCTTATGCATTGCTCCTTGTTGCTAAGCTGCTGTGTGCTGCAAACCCTGTGGGGGGTTGGGGAGGGCACCACCCTCATGCCAGGTACAAGACCTTCTCCTAACCCAGAGTGTCAGGAGGCAGGGCCCCTTCTCCTGCAGGGACAGCTCCTCCTGGTAGTTCTGGCCAAGGCTAGACTTCTGCTTCCTCTGGCAGTTTTTTCACAGCCTGAGGCCTTTTCTCTATTATCCAGTCACATCTCCATGGATGAGCGTCCAAAAATCAGAATCTTCACACATTGAAGGGTCTTGCAGTGAAGCAGAGCGCCTCAGATTTTTTTTTTTTAATTTTTTTTGGAGACATAGTCTCACTCTTGTCGCCCAGGCTGATGTGCAGTGGTGCAATCTCACCTCATTGCAAACTCCGCCTCCCAGGTTCAAGGGATTCTTGTGCCTCAGCCTCCTGAGTTGCTGGGACTATAGGTGTGTGCCACCATGCCCAGCTAATTTTTATATTTTTAGTAGAGGCAGGGTTTCACCATATTGGCCAGGCTGGTCTCGAACTCCTGACCTCAAGTGATCTGCCCACCTTGGCCTCCCAGAGTGCTGGGATTACAGGTGCAAGCCACCACGCCCAGCCAGTGCCTCAGATTTTTGTTTTTAGTTAAAATAATAATAAAAATTCTCATTTTTGAAGGTGATTTTTTTTTAAAGTAAAGTAGGAGTCTCTAACAATTTTTTCTCTTGGGTATTTTTGTTCATATCATCTACTTAAGCCCTTCAGTGTAGCACCTCCATCTCTCTTGACTTTTAACTGCCAGCACTGTGTAACCACGGCAGTGAAAAAAGAATGACCCTTAATGTATTTTAAAGGACCTAATATCTTCCAGAATCTATTGATACACATTAACCCACAAGAAGCTTAACGCCTACAGTGAAGTGTCACAGAATTGAGCAAGTTCATTTCCTATTAATAAGATCCATATGCATGCAATTGATTAACACTTTCTAGGTTCAACAATAAATATATATATATATAGAAAGAGAGAGAGAGAGCAATGGGATGCAATCAGGAAATTACTCTGTTACTACAATTTATTTTATGTAAAAGTGGCAATGAAAAATATTCAAAATTATTTTAAAAGTTACTAAACTCCTAGACTCTTTGCCATGTTAAGCAGAAAAAATAAGGAATTAATGAAAAGAGTTTATAAAACAATGGGGAAAAAAGAATGGCCTTGAAACCCAGTCCTCAGTTTTGTTTTGTGGGGTTTTTTGTTTTTTTGTTTTTTTTGTTTGTTTTTTTTTTTGAGACAGGGTCTTGCCCTGTCACCCAGGCTGGAGTGCATGGTGTAGTCTCAGCTTACTACAGCCTTGAACTCCTGAGCTCAAGCAATCCTCCCACCTCAGCCTTCCAAGTAGCTGGGACCGCAGGCATATAGCACCACACCTGACTAATTTACTTTTGTCGAGACAGGGTCTCACTCACTATATTGCCCAGCCTGGTCTCAAACTCCTGGGCTCAAGTGATCCTCCTGCCTTGGCCTCCCAAAATGCTGGGATTGTAGGCATGAGGCACCATGTGCCTAGCCACTTCGTTCTTTTTAAAAATGCATTTCCTTCTACCTGTTTTTTCCCTGTTACTCTGGGTCGTTTGGTTATACCAGATCTCAGGGCTACACCTGTTTCTTGCCACAGGTAAGGTATAATTCTATCTAGAGCACAACTGGGCTTTTTCCAAGTGGCCCATGGGAAAGGGAAGCGGGGACTCAGCCTGTTGGCTTTCCATTATAGGATGTTCCCAGACTCCCACATCACCACGCAGCCAAGGCGGCTCAGGGCTGCGTCTGCTCGGCTGACCCTGGCATCTGCATGGCTTCAAGGCCCAGGTGCACATTCAGGCTGGGACAGGCAGATCTGCTCTTAATCTCCAAAATGAGAGTGATGTTAGTAGCCCCTGTTCCTGTAATATGCACACACAGCCACTTATACAGTTTTAGAAAAATATTCCCTAGCCACTTGCCTAAAGGCTGTGGAGCTGTAGACTTTGAAGGCAGCAGCTAAATGTTTTGTTTTTTTGTTTTGTTTTTTTTTTTCTGTTCTCTCTGCCTTAGAAATTTTCTTATGAAAGTCAGATTTTGAGACAGATTTGTAAGTTTGTGTATTTATATTTATAAGTTTGCCCATGACTTCAAATGTCAGAATCTCTGAAGTCATGGGCAGGACTCTTAGCATGGTTAGGATCAAGGCCCAGACCCTGAGCTGTTAATATTGCCTCCCCATTTCCACTCATCCTTCCTGCTGGTCTCAGGCAGCCAGCATCTCTAGCCCACCCCTGTTCTAGTATCGCTGGGCTGGGCTGAGAATTGAGCTAGTTGACTTGAAGGTGAACTCCTTATCTCTTTTCCCTCCTGCTGAGAGCCATGCAACTCTGGGTCTGAGTTCTCCAGGGGCTCTAGATGGCATTACCTGTGCCTTTTCACTCTCTCATCTGCCCTGTCTGTCTGAACAAGAACAGCTCTCTTCTGCCTTAGCTTTGAAAGGGGTCTGGAGTTTGAATGCCAGTGAAGTCTTTCCTCTGTTCTTCCTAGGTCATCTCTCACAGTACTAGACAGTCTGATTCTGTAGTAATGGAGGCCAGAGAAGGGCAGAAAGGACAGGAAGGAGAGATAGAGAGAAACAGAAATAATGAACTCTAAAATTCATTTAAATCTGAGAAATGCCTGATATATTTTGGCAACATGGTCAAATTACATGTAGATGTGCTTTGGTCTTCCTGGCTATTTTTTTAAACTGTATGTGGCTCTTAGGAAAACCTAATCATGACTCTCAAGCAGAAGCATTATTGTAATAATATGAGAGCCAAAAGAACGTTTATGGAAAATAGACTTCCAAACACTTTCATTTTGCACATGAGGAAAGAATAGACCCAGAAAGCTGGCATGACTGCCCAGGGCCACACAGCAAATTCATAGGAGAGCCGGGACCAGGGCACATCTCCTGACTCTTGGTCCGGTGCTGTTCTCATCCACGCTTGCTCATTGCTCTGTCTTCTGGGATCTGGGGGAGTCAGGGCCTGAGAAGCCATCCCTGAACAGCAAGCCTAGCATCCTTCATTTTCTTTTTGCTTCTAGTCAAACCAGGCAATGTGAGGAACATCATTCAACACTTTGAGAACAATCAGCAGTATGACGCCCCAGAACCTGGGACACAGCGACTCTCGACAGGAAGCTTTCCCGAGGACCTGCTGGAGAGTGACAGGTAGCAGTGGCTGGATGGGACTTGCCAGCTGTTCAAAGAGTGGGGCCTGGGTGGGGCTGATGCTAGGGTTTCATTCCAGCTACTTTACCCCTCCCCACTAACCTCTAAGCTACCTGTACAGGACTTCCTCCCCAGCCCCAGTATCTTCAGGAGACACATTGTGTGCTGGTGGTGAGCAGGCCAGTGGGAAAGTAAGGAGATCCCCGACTTCCAGCCCAAGAACTACACACTTTTAAAAAATTCCCTTTGGATTTACTGCCTGATGACTCCGTAGCCTTCATCTAAGATCGAGCTAGATATTATAAAGCAATTAATCAGGAAACCCTAAGTGACAAGGATAAGGAAGACTATAGTGGGGGCAAGAGGAAATCTTGAGAAATAAAGACCCAGCAGGCAAAATAAAGTCATTTCCTGTCTGTATGTGAAAAAGAGAGCCAGAGATGAGGTTCTGCTGGGTACTTTAATGACAAGGAATATAACTATAGGCGTCATGTCCACCTCAGCAAAGAGAGGCCAAGTGGATTGATTACAAATGAACTGTTTTTTCCTTTTAAGAAGGAAAAAGGGATTGAGACACTGGCATCTCTCATAGTCTCCTTCTTTGGTCAGGTTCTAACTAGAGTACTTGTCTGGCATGAAAACATATTCTTGGACTTCCTTGCTCTTGATTGTGGCATGACAGCAATCAAGTCATGTCTAAAATTCTACAGCCAACACTTAAAATCAAATGCCTGTAGTCAGAAGTATTCATGCAGATTATTTAAGTCACCTTCAAGGTATAGTCATGTGGTCTTGTAGCAGGGAATATGCTTGTGTACACTCAAGCCTGAGAGCCACTGAGGTGGAGTACAGGCAGGCATGAAAGTAAGTCAGCATGTAGTAGTCTGGATATTCAAGCCATTTT